TACCAACATTTATTAGTTTGGTCATTAAAATCTATAATTTTAAGTTTTATGTCTTTAATTTAAATTTCAAAATAATAATTAGTAAATATGTTATTCAATATGTTGAACCAAAAAGTATATATTAATGTTTATTTTATTATTAATTGTTTTGCACTAAACCCCTAACAATTTGGAAGTCACATTGGCTCCAACAAATTTAGAATCAAACCAAGTCAAATGTCATAAACAGAGGAGCTCTTTTAATGTTTATCTTTTCATTCATAAGATTTGAATTTAAAAGTTTACTTGAGGGGAATTAAAATTTTTCTACTCGAACTAACTAGTTGTTGGTTTTATTATTAATGTTATATGAATCATTTTAATTATACATTTAATTAAATAAAATTTAACTTATATTTTTTCAATCCCAATTAGTATCAAAAAGGTACTTTTGACCATATACTTGAGGGCACAAATTAGAAAAATTAATTTTTCCTCTCAGTTCTACCTCTAAAAGAGATGGGTCCTAAGGGCAACAGCATTTGAAAATTTTGAACTTTAGTACATATAAACATATTTTTCCCTAATTTTTTAAGGAATTTCTAAAATTTTTAAATACCATAGTTATCATGTAATTAAACTTAAAATATTCTCATGTAACTCTTTATAATTTTTAAATTTATTTAAATTTGAATTACAATATATAGTATTCTCATTAAAAGTATCATTTCAAATAAAAGGAAAATATCAAGATCTAGTTAATGGTTTTGCCAAAAAAATCTTTTCTTCCAATCATGGGTCAACATTTTTGAATTGCCTTAGGATAGACTCTCTAATTCTCAAAGTGATTTCATTAAATGAAAATTTTGGATTTTTTTTTTTATATACTTAAGGATTCTTGAATTTGTTATTTTGTTTTTTTAAGCATTACACAAGCATGTGGTATTTGTTTATTTCTCAATAAGAAGGTTTGAGTGTTCAATTAGTTAATGATTTTAGTTGCTAAGTACTAAATTATATATTTCTTCTGTTTTACTGTTTACTCTTTTCATCTTAAAATATATTTTAAATTAAATCTTATTACATTATAAAAATTATTAAAATTTTCAATAAATTATAAATAAATACTTAATGAGTATATTAAAATCTTCAATAAATATTCAATCAGCCTGTTCAAATTTTTGATAAATACTCAATAAATATCTAATAAATCAATTTAAAATTTAAACTCAATTATATTTTCAATAATAATTTTTTCATATGCACAATATCAAACGAGCATAAATTTTGCGGTGTAAATCAATGCAGGGTGGCTACGGTGCGACAAACAGGGTAGATACTCATGGTCTCCTAGTGGGTGGTGTGCAGGGGAGGAAGTAAGCGTCAGTGGAGTAACAACTAACAAGGTGGTGGTTAGTCGTGGAGATGGGGTTTGCTTGGGTAAGGCAGTTGTTGGACTAGAAAGTTTGAATCGCTAATACATCAAATGTATTCAAAATGTTGCTTTTGATCTGTTTGGAACGAAGACAAAAAAACATCAAAGCCCAAACTCTATTATATAAATTGTGTTTTTCACCTCATTTTTAACTATAAACCAAAATGCTGCTTTCATAGAACTTTTCTTATGTTCCACTTGAGGTTGTCTTTCCTTTCCAA